TCTTGATGAGCACCAGCAAGGGCAAAGCCTGCTCACATGTGCCATGCATGGAGATGTACTGCGGCTGAAGGGGCTTTTTGGTGGAGAGCGCGTGCCGCTGCGGTGCCGTTGTGGTGCCGAAGGAACTGGATCAGTGCCTGGGCTGTGGTGTGGTCCCAGTGTTTAGAGCAGTAAACCCTCCTGGTAGGGCAGACGCCTGGAGCTGGAGACTACCCTTGATACTCCGTTGTCCAAGCCAGGTGGGAAGCTTTGCTGCTTGGTGCTGTAAAGAAGCTGTGTGCAGATATGGACCTGGGGGGAGAGTGCAGTGGTCCAGGATGCAGCGGTCCTGGGTCAGAGCCTTGCTGGCATGTGCTGTCAGAGCAGTGTGTACTGGACACTTGTGTAATGGGTATTTCTTGTGGTGACCCCCAGTCTGGAGCTGACAGGGGCTCATGTCTGCCAAAACCACCACCTTTCTCTCCTCTAGATTTTGAGGAGCAGTTCATAAAGGAAAAAAGTCTGTTTGCATTGTCTTGTCTTACAATATCGAGCAGAGAAAGTGAGCTCCAGAGAGCTTGATTTCATGACTTAGCCCTAGGCCTGGAGATTATGAACCATCTTAAAGCTTTGCAGCAGCCTTGCTTGTATCGCCTCCATACAGCAGATAGTGGAAGTGTCTGTGTAGCCAGACCGCTCCTTTCCCCAGGAAGGGAAGCATTAAGTGGATTTGGGTCCTGTTTTAGAGGATGTAGCTATACACTGTGTGCTGCATTGCAGGTGGCACCAAGGAAGAATTTGGTGAGACAGTTGCAGGCTTTTTGGCACTGCTGCCTATGCAGGGAGGTCTCTTCAGGGCCCCTTGGGGCAGGCACGTGTTTAGGGCTGAGCTGGCACTAGTGAGGCCACAGAGCTGCTGTTTGGTGCCTGCGTGTGAGCTCAGCTGCTTCCTCGGGACTGAAACATGCTGTGTGCGGATGGGGCTGCTCCTGTGCTGGGCTCCCTGGTCGCTGCTGTCCCTGCGGCCAGTCGTGGTGGAAGAGCTGCCCGAGGCCGACCCTCTGGACACGCTTGGGTCATGAAGGCTGTGGCCTCTTTGGGGGTGATGCAGCCCCTCTGGCAGGGAGCTGTGCAGCTGGTTGGCTCCAGTGCTGGGGCACATTTTGGCCATTGCTGGGCAGCCTGGAGGAGCTTTAGTGTGTCCAACCCCTGCCCTAGGCCATCCCTGGAGCAGCTGCTGTCTGACCTGCTGGAAGCAGCACCTTGGCTGCGGAGCAAGATGTGCCTCTGCAACTTCCATCTCCCTCTTGTGTCTCCCTGGTGCTTCTCCACCTGCTCTGCAGCAGCTCAGCTGGGTGTGGAAAGGAAAAGCTGAGCTCCCGGGAGCCTGTCTTGTGTTTGAGGGGCTGCACCCAGGCATCTTCATTCGGGAAGGCCTTGGCTGCCTGGGTGGTGGGCGCTGCTGCCCAACTCTGGGGCCAGCATCTGGCTGGGCAGTGCTGCAGTGTGGAGGTGCCGGGTTGAGCTGCATCTGCTGGTGCCTCTGCCGGGTGCTGCCGCCTGCCTGTGTCCCCCCGCCCGCGCTCCTCCGCACCGGGCTGCGTTTGTGAAATGAAATAAATATTGACACGGACGGGATGCTATTCAATTTGTCCTGATCACTGGGCTGCGGTGAGTTCTGACAGAGCAGAGTGTAAAACATAAGCTCAGGATGTAATTTCTACTGTCAACATGAGGTACAGTATGGCTGTGCCAAGCACGGCGCCCTCCTCCGAGCTCCGGCACCGCAGCAGCTCCCGCTACCAGCGCAGTGGTCCCACTTGCGTGGCAGGGACGTGGCACAGTGGGCTGCTCGGGAAGAGTCCTTAGTGATGTGGGGAGTGAAAACCGAGGGTGAGCTGACATTGCTCACGATGCTGGGCTAGTCCTGGCCTGTGTGTTGGGCCCTCTGGGTGGCCCCCAATGCTGTGGCACGTGCAGGCTGTGCACAGGGCAAGCAGGAGGCTGGGCGCACGTGTCCCCTAATGGCTCCGATGCCACAGCCCCCAGGGGAGGCGAGTGCATTGCCCAGCGGCAGCTCTGGGTGCTGCTGGGGGATGAGCCCCTGGCAGAGAGAAGCAGAGGGCTTAAGGCTGGGGAAGAGCCACACTGCAGCACTGAGCCCCGTTGCGGACATGAGCTGAGCACTGATGTCTGCCAAGGACCAGGTAGATGGACTTTAAAACTGGGACCTGAGAGCGGCGGCGGGATCTGCTGTCCTCCCTGCCTGCAGCGAGAGCCTGCAACCGCTCAGCCAAATTGTGCTGAACTTTGGCAGGGTGAGAGGCAGCCGGCAAACGGCATTAGTTCAGATATAGCGAAGAATGCACTGTTAAGTACAAAAAGCACCATCATGGCAGAGGCTCTAAACAGGGGTTGTGGTTCCCACAGCAACGGCAGCCCGGCCCTGCGCGCGCCGCGGGGCTCTCCCGCTCGGCAGCGCCTGCATGCAGCGGGGCCGAGCAAGTTGCCTTGGGAACCGCGGGCAGGGCCGTGGCGCCGGGCACGGCGCCGCTCCGGCACGGCCAGCCCGGCCTCTGCCCTCGTGGGCTCCCCGCCTTCCTTGGGCGGTTGCATTTAAAGTGTCACTTAGTGGTTTATTGACAGCGTTTTGGATGCAGTTGCCTTGGTTTGTACACTGTAATTCTGATGAGACTGAGCAGAAGAGCATGGTGTGGGGTTCTGGATAACTATCAGTGCCATCCCTGCACACAGTGGGGCAGCTCTCTGCACGCTGCGGAGTAGACTCAGCATCTTGCTGTGGGTGCTGCTGACTTGGATGCGTGGTGGGGCCACGGGGAGCCAGGGAAGTTCTTGCTGCCCTCGTAGAGCTGCTGTTGATGCCCCCTGCCAGGTTGATGCACCGGGGGCAGCTGGGGCTCTGCACAGCTACCTCCCTGCTGCCTCTGGCCCCTGCACCTGTGTCTCTGCATTGGCCTCTCCCTGTGGAGCAGAGCTGGCTGCCGAGCTGCTCTGCTTGGTGGTGGTGGGGCCTTGGACCAGCAGGGCAGGGGTGGCAGGAGGGCAGCGAGTGGTGGGATGGCAGGAGGTGGGCCTTGGGGTGACACGAGGAGGCTTCTGCAGCTGATGACAGCCTCCCCAAGGCTTGTGTGGTGGTCCTCGAGAACATGCATGAAGGGACTGTTGGCTAATTTCTGTTTCTGGCAGTTGCATTTAGCAGGTACAGTCCCCTTGCACAGGGACTTTGTACTTGTCTAGAGACGGTGGTTGCAAAGTGAGCAGAGGGAGGAAAGACGTGTGTCTTCTCTGGAGCTGCGTGAGCACGGGTGGGCTCTTTGTCCCCCACGTGTTGGTCTGGAGCTTTCCTTTGGCACATGGCTTCTGCTGGCCAGTTTATCGGCACCTCCTGCTGTCTAGGAGACTCACTCCAAAATAGCTACAATTTCTTCCAATGTGAGAAACTGAAGAGATGCTGACTATGGCAGCAGAGCTCAGTATTTTGTGTGTATCTGCTGTGTATCAGTGTGTGAGGCAAAGCAGTTTGTAACAGAGCTGCTGCAGGTGAGGCAGCCTCTGCTCCTTTGCCCTTTTGCCCATAAGAGTTTGGTCGATGAAGGGTGCAGCTGCTTTAGCCAGTGAATCCTCGGGACGGGGAACAAGCCAGGCCACATTGCCCCTCTGCAGCCTGTCTCACCCCTCTGAAAGCAGTCTCCTGTGTTTAGTATTTCATGCTGTTTGATTTCAGGCATTCTTGCCAGGTTGGCAAGAGCACCTGGTCCCGTTGCAGCAGTGGTGAGAATTGCTTGTGCACAGGGAGGCCTGACGGCATGAAGAGTTTTATTTTTCATTTACAACAGCCTTGTATGGTTGGGGGAGCCATCTTAATAACGACAGCCCGTTTTGGCTGTGTTGAATGCCCCGTGGGTGGGGGAGGCTGGTGCCTTGGCACTGCAGCTCCTGGCACAGGGTGCCGCAGCCCCGGTGCGTCTCAGAGTGCTTGCACGTGTGAGCTGGCATGAGTGTCCATGGCAGACAGCATGCGTGAGACCTGGTATGTGCACACCCAAATGAGGCACAAATAGTGAGAAATAGAGTGCTGGTGCTTGGATGCTCTCAGCTGTGTGTGTGATGAAACTTGAGGGTGAGCGTTGGTGTCTGCTCTGGTGGCAACACTGAGTGCTGCTGTGTGTGTGGGAGGGTGACACTGGGTGCCTGTCCCACCCCTTGGGCTTGCCAGTTGTGTGCTGGATGCAGCCTATCCCTGGCTGCAGGTTTCGCGGTTCCCTCATTGCTCCAGGTTGCCTTGAAACTCAGTCTAGATCCTTTCAGCAAAATACTTTGACCTCAAGTTTAGCCAAGCAGCGACTCCTTGAGCTTCTCCTTTAGCCCAGGGCCACAGGAGTGAGATGCCAGGGAAAAGACTGGGTCTGTGATGGAGAGCCGGCAGCTCCTGCTGCTGGTGCCGGTGTCTCCTGGAGGGATCCTTGCCCATGCCTGGGCACAGTGCCGGCAGCGCCCGGGCAGTGGCGACTGTGGGCTCGTGGTGTGGAGCATGGCCCCCATGCCCAGCTGCAGCGTGATGGGTGCTCCCTCTGCACCGGGACAGAGCTCCAGCACGTGCCAGTGCTGGAGCTCTGCTGCTCACCTTGTCCTGCTAGAGCATGAACCACCAAAGCGGTGAGAGCTTGGAGTGGGCTTGCTGCCCTCCTGCTGGTGTCCCCGGCTTTGGCCACACCACGGACTGGGCTCTGGCATGGGGCAGCGCTGGGTATAAGGAGCTGCCTCTTGCACCACCACTGATGTCTTGGTCTTTTCTAGGCTCCTGGAGATGCTGCCAGCTGCCTTACGCCGGCCCACATGAACCGTTGGAGAATGGCCGTGACAGGCATTGGATGGGCAAGGGATCTTCGCCAGGCGCCAGGATGTCCCCCCACCAAAGCCGGACATCACGAGTGTGAGTGCTGCAGGCCCCGGGCTGCTGGACCCCTTGCCTGGGAGTGTGTGGCCGCCCCGGGGCGGGCGAGCAGCAGCCCCCACGGCTCACCCCGCTAGCACCGCTGCAAAGTGCTGCGCACAAGAGCTGCCCCTCGCCTCTCGAGTGAGCCTGGTCGGGCGCTGGGCTGCAACCTGCTCTGAGCAGAGCGGTGCAGCCTGCTCCTGGGACATGCCAGCTGCGGACTCTGCCCTGGAGACCTGGGTGCAGCCCATGAGACACTGGCACCGACCACTTCTGCACTAGCGGCCGAGGGCTCGGGCAGCCCTTGTCACAAATGGACCTCTAGCCTGTCAGGATGGGAGTGCTGCAGCAGCAGGACATGAAGCGCAGTAGGATGGGGATGCTCTGCATGGACCAGTGAGCCCCACGCTGCTGGAGTGGACTTTCCTCCACCTCCTCCCCAAAGAATGCCAGTTGCCTGTCCCAAATCTACTGTCCATGCAGCCTGTCGGAGTGTGATGGCGGAGGGTCTGCAGGGCTTCCCCTGGGCCGTGCTGCTGCTGTGCTGCGCTGTGCCGCTGCCGGGGACCTGGGCCGTGCACGTGGAGCTGGGCGGGCCGGAGCTG